AATCTTGTGCTCCAGACCATCACAGCTTTGTTGCCCTTCTTTGGACACACTCCGGGGCCTTGATATCTTTGTTGTAGTGAGGGGCCCAAAACTGAACACAGTACTTGAGATGTGGCCTCACAGACTGAGAGTACAGGAGGATGATCACCTCCTGTTGGCTGTGCTATTTCTGATACAAGCCAGGATGCCATTGGTCTCCTTGACCAACGGGGCACACTGCTGGCTCATGTTTAGCTTAGTGTCGACCAACAGCCCAGATCCTTTTTCTCTGTACAGCTTGCCAGCCACAATATCTTCCTTTATTTTTTTTTTTATTTTATTTATTTTTTATTTTTTTCTTAATAGGCAGTAGCTGCAAGATAAACAGAAGGAAGTCACTTTTTATATAATGAACAAGTAAATCATGAAATGTTTGAAATGACAGAAGGCTAAGTTAGACACAGTAACAAAAATAGTTCAACTAGCTTGTGGAGGATAAATCCTCAGATAGCGAATAAAATTCATAATCAAAATATGACATTTGGCTCAGGTACATCCTAAACCGTTATTGATTAGCAGCTGGGAGGCTATGCCAGGGAAAAAAAATCTCTCTCTGAATCAGGCATATTTGTTACATGGTGCAATAATGTTCAAGCAGTTTGAATGTTAAGGTAGTTAATCATGATTTTATTGTATTTTTTATTCACTACAGCAATGTTACTTATCTGGACATGAATCTTTTTGGCTCGTAGGATGTCTGAAATAATGAAGTTTACTGCTGCTTGTGTCCTCAGTTGTAGAGGGGCCAAACTTGTCCTTCAGACAAATCCTGGCTTCCTAATGGCATTTGTCGCTGGTTTTAAGAGCTCATTGAAATACTTAGTGACTTAGGCCTGGGATAGCTAAAAGCTGTCCTAAATCTCTAGGTTGATGATGTGCTTCTCTGCACAATGCAACACTCGAACTTTTCCTGGCAGTCTGAGGATTTGGAAAGAAGTCATTGGGGAACTAAGGATCATTAGCAATCTCAGTATATTTTGTTATTTCAAATGAGCTTTTTCTCAGATAAACACGTCACCATGTATTTTAAAGAATAACCTAATACAACATGAAAATAAACAACTCCCTAAGAAAATTCAAATGTCAAACTAAATAAAACCCAAATTCAAATAGGACAAAACTGACCTGTTTCTGACTCTGCTCTTTTATGCTCCTGGAGAGCTGATGAGAAAAATATAAAACAGTGCATGGCCCTTTCTATCCAAGTGAAAGGAGCTCAAATTGTACTGCAATAATCACATAGGAGAGCAAGAATAAAACTGGACAGATGCCATGGTTTATGCCAAAACAAGTCCTTACGCTACTTTCAATCAGTGAAACATTGATAACTATTTTTTTCCTTCCTTCCCTTCTAAGGAAGAATAAGCAGAGAGATTTGGCAGTCCACTGTAGACCCAAATGCAAATGTGGTAGTTCTCTATGCCCTTTAACTTCTACTTATGGTCCATCTTTACATTCTTACAATGTTGTTCATGAGTATATCTTTCAAGTTTCTATTTTGCTCTTCCAAAATCTGTTTCATTCTTCTAAATTTGTTTATAGAAGGAATTGTCTTATTGTTATCAGTCAGTTAAAATAATCTGAAGATATACGTATGAACATGCTAAAAAGAAGCATAACTCTGCATCATATCAGCTTCTTCTGAGGAGGCTTCCTTAGACTTACATCTCTCCAGCAATGAACCCTTGATTTCTCTTGGAGGGAGAACTGGAGTCTGTAGATGCTCAAGAAAAAGCCATACTTCTATGTTCCATTTTGATCATAATTTCTAGCTTAAACATTGGCACCTGAATTAATCCAGCCTGGCTAACTGTTGCATGTTTTTTTTTTTCCATTTGTGCTAGGGAAAAACAGCAACAACAACAAAAAAACAACCCAAACCTAAAACATGTACATATTCATTAAGCATTCAACGTGTTCGATCTAGTAAGCATTGAATCATATGACACTGCTTTTTACAGCAGGATAGTTGCATTTTTTAAAAAGTAAATTCTCAGCTGGAGCTCATTTGACACTTTGCATCCTACTCACTCCTGGATCATTTATAACAGAAACTATTTATGCTGAAATATTAAGTAGTATTTCTGTATCTTCTCTGTTGCCATCTCTCGGGCTTTCATTTTCTATAAGCAACTAGTAAAAATTTCATTGTAAAATGTTGATGAGATGTAACTTTGAAACATTTATTTTACCTGAAGAGTTCTGCTGTTTGCTCCTGTGTATGTAGTTTGGATAAAAAACATTTCTTAAAAAAATTATCATTAATAACATAAAGCCCACAGTATATATTTTATAAAGTTTTGAATTCTGAAAAAAGCTGAGATACAGTTGAATAAAGTAAACAGCACCCTTCCCCTGCAGCATAACATCTTGTTGAGACTGTCATTTCAAATGCCAATCTCAACAAGAGATTTTTCAAAATGGCCAAATGCCGGTTCCTGCACTTTGGTCACAACAACCCCAGGCAACGCTACAGGCTTGAGGCGGAGTGGCTGGAAGATGAGTAGAGGAAATGGACCTGGGGGTATTGATTGATGCTTGGCTGAACATGAGCCAGCAGTGTGCCCAGGTGGCCAAGAAGGCCAATGGCATCCTGGCTTGCATCAGAAACTGTTGCCAGCAGGAACAGGGAAGTGATTGTCCCCCTGTACTCAGCTCTGGTGAGGCTGCACCTCGAGTACTGTGTCCAGTTTTGGGCCCCTCACTGCAAGAAAGACATTGAGGCCCTGGAGCGGCTTCAAAGAAGGGCAGCAAAGCTGGTGAGGGGTCTGGAGCACAGGTCTTATGAGGAGCGGCTGAGGGAGCTGGGATTGTTCAGTCT